GAAAACTGGTTGGGGAAACTGGTTCAATCTCGCTGCTGATATAGCTGAGAAGTCCATGCAGTGGGCAAGGATCTAGGCTAGGGTTCCTCAGCCGTGGGCCTAATGACATTCTGGACTGGATGATTCTTTGTTGTGGGAGGTTGTCCCATGCACTATAGGGATGTTTAGCAGCACCCCTGGCCTCTACTCACAGTAGCATGTCTGCAGTTGTGACAACCAAAAATGTCTCCAGACAGTGCTGAATGGCCTTGGGGGGCAAATCACTGCTGGAAGAGAACCATTGCTGCAGACAGAAACCTCCTGCTGCAGACTCCCACCTTCCCTGGCCTGCATGCCCACTCTGCCTGCTGCCCAAATCACGGTCCTCCATGGAGAGCCGTCCCTTTGCTAGCATCTCTGGACGTTGTTTATATTTCTGGGAATTAGATACACTGGAGTTCTGCACATTATTGTTATTTACTAGCACTTTGAGGACAAGGGCCATGTGCACCAACGAAAGCGGAGCTAACATTCAAAGACCAACTGTTTAAAAAGAATAAAATCAGGAAGGAGAAAATGTGACTTAAACAAGCGCTCCAGTTAAGATTTTCTTCCGTATGAAGGTACATTCTCCAGTATCCTAGAAGAAATTTTTTTCCCTAAGACAATCAATAGGGAATAATTCAACATATTAAGAGTATGTTCATTTTATTCTCTATTGACTTCTTACCATTTCCACACTAAGCAATTAAAAACATGAAGCATGGGGCTTCCCTGGTGGCGCAGTGGTTGAGAGTCCACCTGCCGATGCAGGGGACACGGGTTCGTGCCCCGGTCCAGGAAGATCCCACATGCCGGGGAGTGGCTGGGCCCGTGAGGCATGGCCGCTGAGCCTGCCCATCCGGAGCCTGTGCTCCGCAATGGGAGAGACCACAACAGTGAGAGGCCCGGTACCGCAAAAAAACAAACAAACAAAAACATGAAGCATGTATTTTACAAGACCAATGCTCTAACCCACACCAGAGCTGAAATATATACTTCATAAGTAAATTACTCAGAGCAAAGTGAAATTACTACTACACAATATTCATAAACACCATTCATAATTATAACTATATTCATCAATCTGGCTTCACTTTAACTCTTAATATTCATTTCTGCTTACTCTTGGCAAAAGACTCAAGATTTATCAGCCAGGGTTTTGTATCACTGTGTAAATATTAAAGGTTTTTATATCAGTATGTAAATATTAAAGGTCTTTATATCAGTATGTAAATATTAAAGGTCTTTATATCACTATGTAAATATTAAACAACAAACAAAATCAAAACTTTCACATTATCTAACCCTAAGGTTTAACATCTTCTACCGGCTATATAATACAGACTTACGGAGAAGATAAAGTATAAACCAATTTTGTTACAAGCCATGATAATCACAACATAATTAATTACCTGGACTAGGAATCTGGTCACGGTATTTTGGAACCTCATCGTTCAGAGTCTGAAGCATAGCCCACATTGTGAATGTAAAGAGTGCAGCCAGGAACCCATAAAAGACTAGGTAGAAGAGCAAGATCAAACCTGTAAAAGAAAATAAAACTCATAAAGTTGAAGATATACACATTGTGTGTGTGTGTGTGTGTGTGTGTGTGTGTGAGATGTGGCCAGGGTAAAAAAACAGACCCATCATTGCAAGGCTAGAACTCCAAGCTTTGCCATGCACACAGCCAAGTATCTTCATATTCAGAGCGATATGAATTTGCCCAAGCAAGGGGTATTTCAGCAGGCAGCACCCACCCACATCCTGTGACCCCCTCCTCTCCTCTGATACTTCCAAGTACAAGTAGCTTCCACAGATCATACTGATTCAAGATCAGAGCTTTAAAATTCCAGCACATAAGGGAGTATTTCCCGAAATGGAGTTAATGCTCTCTAGAAAGAAAAAAGATGATTTTAGGTTGGACAAAACCCCCAGTATGTATATGTGACAAACAAAAAAATTAACACATAGGACTTCCCCAGTGGTCCAGTGGTTAAGACTCCGTGCTTCCTCTACAGGAGCCATGGGGTTCAATCCTAGGGGAAGTTCTGCATGCCGCACAGGTGGACAAAAAAAAAAAAAAGAATTAGCACGTCAACCCTGTATTTCACAGTAAGTATTAGCATAAATTTGGGTTTTAAAAAGTGAGCTGATTTAGAGAATAGCCAGGAAACATGCAGAGAAGGTAAATCATGAAGCCGGTATCAATGAATAAAGTTTAGGAAACACCGGTTGAGTGGAAGCGTCATGCAGAAGTGAAGAGAGGAGCATCCCAACCAGTGGGACTTGATAACTCCCTGCTAAGCACGCAGCAAGAGCTGGCAGACGCAAGTTTCAACATCAAGGGCTTAACCTTTTTTTCTTCACAATCTGGAAACACTAAGATCTATCCTAAGCCAGTGATTTATTTTGTGAACATGTAGAATTATTTTTCTCAAATGTCTATATTCAAAGATCTAACATCCTAAGTGGTCACCATCAAGATTATATACTAGAATATATTGTTAACGTCACACATTTATATTTGAACATTTAAAAACTGATCAAAGGGGACTTCCCTGGCAGTACAATGGTTAAGACTCCGCGCTTCCAATGCAGAGGGCACGGGTTGGATCCCTGGTCAGGGAGCTAAGATCCCACATGCCACGCACCACAGCCAAAAAAAAATCTGATCAAAGAATATTCAATAAATCCCCAGTTACAGCAACAGTAAAGAACACTTAATTCCCCAAAGTTGAATTAACATCAGCTTCATTTTCCAGTCTTAACATAAACCTGCTTATTAATATTTGTCCTAGCAGAAGGGCTAGAACAGGGGTTCCTAACCTGGAATCTATGGACCCTTCACCCTCACTCATCCCCAGAAGGATTAACTTCAGAGCTTCTATGACTTCTGTAATAATACAGTTCTGAATATATCCATTTTTCTTCTGCGGAGTGGCTCTACAACGTTCTTGTGATGCTCAAAAGACCCTGTGACCCCGAAACAGATTGTGGCAAAAGCTAGATAACTTTCATTTGTTACCTGCGGGCCAGGAAACTACCTCCCCTTTTTTTAAGCAAAGGGGAAACAGTTAAAGCAATTTCATTTTAATTTAGACCAGCATTCCCCATCCTCCCCCTGCCCCAATTACCAGGAGGCCAAAATAGGGAGCGAAAGGACAGAAGGAAGAAAGGAGCACAGGATGTCGCCTCCAGACTGCATCACTTCCCTATCACACAGAGTGATCCTGTTGCAGAAACACAAAGGAAGACCAATCTCAAAGAAGTGATCAGTTTACTACAGAGGTAGATGAAATACGTGCAAAGCCCAAAGGATGGTTTAATGAGATACAGAAGAAAAACCATTCTTTCAGATCTGGGTATTTGTAGGAACTAATGGATAAACTCCTCCACAGAGCAGACCAGGGTACAAATATATAAATGTGATAATGAGTGGGGGATGTGTTCCATCCAGTAAAGCCTCACTTATAGAGCAGGCAGACTGAGGCCACAGTAGTTTGTCAACTGACGCAGTAGATATTAAACTGGAGAAGTTTAAAACAGGTGCCAGGAGTTTAATTATTTAGCGGTGTTTCAAAGTCATCTGAAAATATGCTTACCATTTTCAAATTTGATTTTAAATTTTCAGGAAAAATAATAAAAAGCGGATTTATAAAAACAGTTACAAAGCAAATGAACATATAGCAAACACGAACAGAAGTGTAAAAACTTCCTATAAAGAGTTGGGTTGGGACTTCCCTGGTGGTCCAGCGGTTAAGACTTCACCTTCCAATGCAGGGGGTGCGGGTTCCATCCCTGGTAGGGGAGCTAAGATCCCACATGCCTCGGGGCCAAAAAAAAAAAAAAAAAACACAAAACAGAAGCAATATTGTAGCAAATTCAATAGACTTTAAAAATGGTCCACATCAAAAAAATCTCAAAAAAAAAAAGTTAGGTTCATAAAATAGATACACAGATTAACAGCCATGTCCCAAACCCGATGCCATGTACTAGTGGCCATTAAGTCAATTTTGAATGTAGGGAGTGTACCGAGTAGATAAGTGATTTTCAGCACTGAAGTCAATTTCCCCTGCTTGATAAGATCCTCTCGCCAAGAACAAACTTAACATTTAAAAACTAAAATTAATCTCACTTGTAAAAACCACATATGAAAGACCACTCGCAAGGATGGCAGTACTTTATCAACTTAACCACCTTTCTCCTACACTAAGAAAAAAAATACCTGAAAATAAAAACAGAAGTTGTAAACTGCTGTTCTTATATATCAGTATCTTGCAGTTATTTACTCAGATGCATTCCTGGCAATGACAGGGATGAAACGAATTGAGCTACCCTACCTGAGTAATAGGTAGTGCAGATGGGACCTGTTCAGTGTGCCATGTCTGCCTCAGTGCTAGTTAATGTAAGCAGGGAACAGGTAAGTCATTAGGCTTCATCAAGGCCTGGACATCCACACCCGTTCAACACACTTTGAGACCGTGTGTTAAACCGTGATCTGACTCCCTACTTCTGCAAACTTCCTAGTTACCTGAGGGTACCTAGACAATAGAAAGACTATGCCTTATTCTCAGAGAATTCTGATGAGAAACAACTTCCCTGTGGTAAATAAATTAATAACCTGTTTATAGTTAAAAATAAAGCAGAGGCAGGTATAATTTTTTAAAAAGTCAATTATATGGACAAGTACAAATTTAAAGTCCTTTGTATATTCAAATTTTTATAAGGAGCTATTTATTGAGGTATAATTCACATTTCATTCACCTATGAGTGGAACTGCTTGATCATATGGTAATTCTGTTTAGTATTTTGAGTTAAGTACCAGACTATTTTCCAAAGCATCTACAACATTCTACATTCCCACCAGCAGGATTCCAATTTCTCCACATTCTCATTAATACTTCCTAGTGGGTTTAATTTGCATTTCCCTAATGACTAATGATGTTGAGCATTTTTTCATGAGCTTATTGGTCATTTGTACCTTCTTTAGAGAACTGTCTATTCAGATCCTTGGCCCATTTTTAAATTGGGTTGTCTTTTTATTAAGTTCTAAGAGTTCTTTATATACTATAGGCACGAGCCTCTTGTCAGATACATGATGTTCAATAATTTTCTCCCATTCTGTGGGTTGTCTTTTCATTTTCATGACAGTGTCCTTTATTATTATTTTTTTCAGCAAAACATTCTTATTTTATTTTTATCTCAGCAAATGTTCTCATTTGGCACCCGACTGGCATCAAACCAAAGCCCTTAGGCCGACAGGTGTGGGCTGAGACCACCTGCAAACTTCCCATGTGTAGGTCTCAACGGCTATGCGCATCAGAGCACCTATTCCTCTCTCTAGTCCCTTAGGGTGGCCTAAAGGTCTCAGGTGCGCTAACAGTGCTGGCCACGAGGTGGTGGAAAAGTTGTGACACTGAAATCTGCTGGGATAGGAAACCAAGCAGTGCCTTGAAAGCAAGTTCTTTTCTCAGGCGACAGATACCCAGATAGGGTCCTGATCATGCTTATTCAACATACTCCTGTCTGCCTGGTTACACTTTTTAGAGCTCAAGCATCTAAGGAAGTCTTGTCTGGCAGGATGGGACAGTAAGCTCTCAGGTCAGCACTGTTGGCCTGCGGAAATCCCGAGTCCAGCTTTGCAGCCTTTGCACAGTGGGTACTTTCCCAGGATCCATGAAAATACTCAGAACCCATCAGAACATTTTACTTGCATGCAGTTTCCAACTGTCAGAGGAGTTCAGGACTGTCTGGCCTTCTCAGGATCTCAGTTCAAGATTAGCTATTCAAAGCATGAAATAAGAGGGAATATGTTTTAAGAATCAAGCCTGCTCTTTTCAGCCCTGCTGAGGGAACAATTTCAGACATGACTTTTAGAGAGGAAGCTGGGCACTCAGCAGGGCACAAAGTGGCTTTCAGACCAAGGCTCCTCCTCTGGTGCAGCGGAAGTGGGACCTCAGCGTGGGGTCCCGCATTCTAGCTTTTCTTCTGCGAGCCTACTTGACCGGCAGGCAGGGATCATGAGCAGCTGCAGGAGAATGAAGACCGGAGACGTGATCAGGCCGAACCAGAGCTCCCGAGTCTGCTCCACCAGCTTCTGGCACAACAACATCTCGAAGACGAACTTCAGGCTAAGAACCGTGAGGACCCAGAAAAGGTGGAGCACGGCCAGCCGCTTCTCTCCGTCCTGGAAGAGGCGCACGGAAACGACAATAGTGAAGTTGGTGCTGAGCCGGTCAGCGGCGAAGAAGGGCACGAACACGTTCCACCAGGAGAGGCCGGGAGCCAGGCCGTCCACACGCAGGGCCAGCAGCACGGAGAACACCGAAAGGGCCATCAGTTGCACGAAGACCTCGAAGGGAGCGAAGCCCAGCAACTGCACCAGCTCCACGAGCGCGAAAAGCATCGCTCCGGTAGAGCGCGGGCCAGGGCCCGGGCGACGGTCTCACCCGCCTGGCTGCGCCGCCACTCCCCACGGGCCTCGCTGGCGCCTGCGCCGTCGTCGCGGCCAGCGAGCTGCAGAAAGTGGCCCTGCCTGCCCTGGCTCTCGGCCCCAGCCCAGGACCCAGCACTGGCCGCCAGCTAATGCCCGCCTTGCTCGGACGCCATGCCGCGCTGGGCGCCGACAGTGTCCTTTAAAGCAGAGAAGTTCTTAATCTCAAGGAAGTCCAGCTTATCTATTTTTCCCCTTGGTTGCTTGACTTTTGGTATCATATCGAAAACACCACTGCCTAATCCAAAGTCATGAAGACTTGTAATTATATTTTCTTCTAAGAATTTTTAGTTTTAGCTCTTTAAGTTTGGTTCTTTGATCCACTGTGTGTTAATTTTTGTACATGCTATGAAGAAGGGAACATTGGGTTTGGGATAAAAACTGGGCAAGGTCCTGGATGGGTTGGTAAAAATCTAAATCTCTCCATAGAGAATCTCCATACCTGACCAGCTCTTGGCTACCTATGCCTCATCCCTGAATGCTATGACAGGGATGTCTAAATACAAAGAGGAGGTGCAGAGAACCAATAATTACAAAATACTGAGAAGAAAAACTAATCCAATAAAGTATCAAATGCAACAAAGAAAGTAATGCCTGAAAAAACTGGGTTGTAACAGGGTACAGAACCAGGGGGGGTAGCATGAGTATAATTAAAATACAGAGTATAAGGTAAGAGGATAATTTTTCAAAATCTGATTTCATATTCTGATTGTTAAAATTTTGAAACTTAGTAGATAGCTGAACTGGAGAAGAGTCAAATAATAATAAAAAAAAAATCCAGACACCTAACAAAAAAGCAAACCAAAGACTGGGAAAAATATTTTGCATAATATGAGACCAATAAATTACTTATTTGCAATCTAGAATATATAAAGAACTCTTACAACAAAACAAATTTCTAAAACATGGACAAAAGTTTTGAACAGAAACTTCATCAAAGATGTAATGAGAATTGCAAAACAATCAAGCTCATGAAAACATACTCAACATCACTAGTTATCCAGGAAGGGCAAATCAAAACCACTACATGCTCACCAGAATGCTAGAAATTCTAAAGACTGACCATACCAAGTGATGATCTAGGAGCGGAGCAGCTGACACTCTAATACACTGCTGGTGGGAATGTGCCAAAACAAAAACTGATTTTGGAAAACAATTTTTTGAAAAGTTAGTAGCATATACCTATGATAGGATCCAGCCAATCCATTCCTAGATATTTAACCAAGAAAAACGAAAGCACACGTTCGCAGAAGTGTATGAATATTCGTAAATGCTTTATTTGTAATCACTAAAAACTCAAACAACCCAAAAGCACATCTACAGATGAATTAATAAATAAATTCTGGCATATAACACAATGGAATACTATTCATGAACTACTTCTCAAAGTAACTGTGCTGAATGAAACAACTCAGCACTCCTGACCCCAAAGAGAACACACTACATGATTCCATGCATTTAAAGTTTCAGAAAATACAAACTAATCTAAACTGTCAAAAAGCAGATCTATTTTTGCCCGGATACTGGGGATGTAGGGAAAGAAAAGGATTACAAATGGGAAAGAGGAAATCTGGGGAGTGATGAATATTTTCATTACCTTGATTAGAGTGATAGTCCCATGGATACAATATATGTATATGCATATAGGTGAATATACATCAAAACTCAAGTTATACATTTTAATTTTAAACACATGCAGTTTACCATATGTCACAACTATACCTCAATAAATCTATTTAAAAAACAAAAATTTGGAAGAAGGCCTAACCTAGAGAACTAGCCAAGCCAAAGAAAAATTCAGTGAGCTAAAAGATCAAACCAAGGTGTTTTACAATACTGGGCAAAAAGACAGAGAGTGTGTATGGAGATTGTTGAGACACGGGAGACAGAACCAGAATATCAATAAATCTAACAGGAATTCCCAGAAAAGGGGATGGGGAGGAGTGCCCAAAGAAATAACACATTTTGTGTCTAGATTGGAAAAGATTGAAAAATATTAGAAAATACCCTATACCTAGATAGAAAAAGGTAAAATTTCAGAATACTAAAAATAAAGTGAAAATTTCTTAAAGCTTCTAAGAAGATAAAACGGGTTTTACCTAGAGCAGAGAAATATGACTGACAGATATCTCATCAGCCAAAAATAAAACAGTATATTCCAAACTGAGGAGGCTTTAAGTTTTAGCTACACTGTCTTCATTTCCTTCTTTTTGGAAGAAAAACTTATATATTATCTAACCTGAAAAAAAAAGGACAAAGTTCACAGACTAAATTCTAGAAAAAGCTAATATAATTGTACATTTTTCATTTTTTAAAGTTTTCTTTAAAAATCTAAGACAAGAAAAATATATAAAGCAATGGTGAGCAAAGAAACCAGTAAGGCTTGCTGGTAACATCTAAGTAAGTGTTGATTTTAATTTCTTTTCCTTATCAGGTCTGAGGAATAACTTACATACAATAATTTTCATTGATTCCAAGTGCACAATCCCAATGAGTAGACAGTTGCATGTATTGTGAAACCACCACTACACTAATGATACAGAACATTTCTATCACCTCTGAAAGGTTCCTTGTGCCCGTTTGCAATCTGTACATCCTTCAGCCAGCCAATGATCTCCTTTTGCCACTACATTAGTCTGTATTTTACACAGTTAAAATTTGATTTTAATTTAATAACAAGTTAAAATCCCAAAAATATTAAGGTAGGAATAATTTAATAGTAGTCTAATAAAAGACATTCTCAAAGTGCGTTAAAGAAAACCTTATAGCACTATAAATAAATGCTATTTATAGATAAAAACCTAAAATTATAACACATACTGGTTGAAAATAAAGTAGATCTTGGCTAACAAAAAGAAATGTAGAAGTGGCATTATTCCTGTAAGCAAACTATTTAGAATTCAAGTCAAAAGGTATTAACAAAGCAAAGATATTCTCTATTAATAAAAAGTAAACAAAACACATCAAGAAGATACAGCATAAAAGCCATGAACATTTGTGATGCTAAGTGGCTTAAGATATGTAAAGCAAAATTTATCACAATCATCTGTAGAGATTTTAACGTACCTCTTCCAGAAATCCACAGATCAGGTAAACAATAACAAAAAGGATAATATTTTAAAAACACAACTAATAGTTATTTAATATATGTAAAACTTTGTAGTCACCAGAAAATATACTCTTTATAAACCTGGAACATTGTCTCGAAACTGACCATGACTTAAATTTCAAAAAACCAAAACAAAACAAAAATAACCTAAAAAAAAAAAAAAAAAAACAAGGCCATTTTTCAAAATCAAAGTATGTTACAGAAGTATAACAAAAATTTAGAAAATGGACTGCTAAATGACCTTTGGATTAAAAAGACAACAAAACCCAAAACATTCAAAATTCAAAACAATCATGTAGCCAAAGCAGAACACAAAGGAAAATCCATAGCCTTATACGCATTCACTAAAAAACCAGACTAACCAAAAAAGCCAGGTTTTAAATTCAAGAGTAAAATAAATTCAAGGAAAGTAGATTTAAGATACAAGCACAAGTTAATGGAAACAAATGCAAAAAAAAATCATTAATTTTATCAATAAAACCAATTTCCAACTAGTAAGCTCGAAAATAGATGAAATGTATGATTTTTAAAGAAAATAAACATATTCAAATCAGAAGTTGTTACAAGAAATAAAGAGCTCTATTCCTAAAAGAGACACTATGTCCAAACGGCTTTAGTTCTCCCAATTTTCAAGTAGATTCTTTCTCTACACACGAGCTATCCTTTTTGTATGCTCCGTAAGTTACCTAAATCTTTATAAGGCTAGCACCCTCCAGATACCAAAACTAAACAGACAGTAGTCGCACAGATTTCACAAATTTATTTTATTTTAAACGCTTACATAGAGCTTACATGCTATAGAGTGATAATGACACAGGAACAGAGGTACAGATTAATAACAAAACATAACAATAATCAAGAAAGGATCCATATAAAATCCATGTAACAAAGCGGGCACTTCAAATCAGTGAGAAAATGATGGATTATTCAATATATTTTGAGATAAGTGATCAGGAACTGCCTATAAAAGACTGTTAAATTTGTAATAATATTTATTTAAACAAGTACAATTTTTAAAATAAAAGAATTAAGAGACAAAAGACAGCAAAAAGACGAGCAGGTCGCTGTAAAGAAACAAAAACTGAGCAAACATAAGTTGCAATTATCAGAGATACTGCAAATTAAACCAACCAAGACACCAGCATCCCATCAAACTGGCAAAAATTTTTAAAGAGTGATGATAACCAATGCTCAGAAAGTTGAAGGGAAACAGGTAATTTGATCCCTGCTGGTGAGAGTATACACTGGTACAGCTTTACTCGAGGACAATAAATTAATATAAAAATAAACATATACAAACTGGTGATTCCATTTCTCAGTGACTACCCTGGATAAATAGTTGCACACTGCACAATTTGCAAGACAAAAATTGCATATTATGCAATGACTCAAAGGAATGAGATAAATAAATGGGGGGGAGAGAGAGAGACATGGAAACAGTCAAGACATATTAAGTGAAAAAAAGCAAGTTCTAGAACATACATTCTTCCTAGTACTCATGTAAAAGTGGAAAATTAATTATTCCTACATAGTCCATATATACTCATATACATACACACACACACACACACATATACATATACACATATATAAGTGTTTTGAAAAAGGACTGGTAGGAAAACTGATAAGCAATCATTATCTGTGGGAAAGACTGCAACTGGCAGAAGGCAGTGAAGAGAAACAATATATTCATGTATTCTTTTTTCTCCAATATCCAATTAGGAATACTTACAAATACACAGAAAAGTTAAAAGAAATGTAAGTGAACACGCATAAACCCCACCTAGATTCTACAGTAAAGTCTACTGTATTTACCTCTTATCTATTCACCATCTTTTTTTTTTTTAAGAATTTCAAGTTGCAGATGTCAGTACACTTAACCCCTAAATACTTCAACATTATATTAACTAAAATTGAGGGAAAATTGCATTCAGCAAAATACACAAATCTCCAAGGTACCATGACACGGTTGTTGAGAAATACATTCACCTCTATGATTCAAACAGCTATCAAGATACAGAACATTGCCAACACCCTATAAAGTTCTCATGCCCCTTCCCAGTCAATCCCCATGACCACCATCCTAGAGGCAAACACCATTCTGGGCTTTTCCCCAGCATAGGTAAGTATGGCTTGATTTAGAATTTCAAAGAAATGAAATTATATAGTATATTCTCTTTGGTAAAGCTTCTTTTCTGCTCAGCCTAATTGTGGGATTCACCCATGTTTTGTGTTACCTGTAGTTTGCTCCTTTTTACTGTTGAGTAGTATTCCACTGTGTGGACACTGGTTTGTTTATCCATTCTACTGCCGGACACCTGGGCTCTTTCCAGTTTGGAGCTACTATGAATATTTTGTGTATTTTTGTGGACATATGTTTTCATTTCTCTTGGGTAAACTGCTGGAGATCATGGGGTAAGTGTATATTTACTTGTACAGGAAATTGTTAGACCTTTATCCAAAGTGGATATACCACATATGTTTTAAAAAGTATGACAGGTAACAGTGGTTACCCAGGGAAGAAGCTGAGGATGACAGTGGACTTATTGACTATTCACATCTGTACTATAAAAACTCAAATAATGAAGTTACTTTTGTCATATGAAAAAAAACAAAGCCAAGAGTCCACATTCCATTTAAGACACGTTCAGGTTTCTTGGATTAGCCTACGCTGACCACTAACTAACTTCTAAAGCATAGGTCAGCAAATCATGGCTGCTGCCTGTTTTTGTAAATAAAATACTGAAATGCAGCTAGGCCACTAGTAAACATATTGTTTACGGCCGCTTTCAAGCTACTAACAGCAGAGTTGAGTAGCTGCAACACATACTGTATTCCTGGCAAAGCCTAAAATATTATCTGGTCCTTTAAAGAAAAAGTTTGCAGCCTCCTGTTCAAAAGCATTTATATAGGCCTTGATTTTCATTCCAATGTGACATCTGAAACTATCTCATGCAAATTCTCCCTTACAGAGGAAACTAAGACCAAGAGATTTTTAATGACTCACCTAAGCTTAGATGGAGATGTGGAATTCTAATTCAGGTCCATATTCTGAATCCTAGTCTGATCATCTTCTCAGTATACTGGTAAACTTCTAAGACGTATCAAGCAAAAATACATAGGCCCACAGGCTCACTTTGACTACGATGCCCTATCTGGAAACTTCAATGAATTAGAAATTTAGTGGAACAGAATCATGGTGAGCTGAGGGGAATAATGAACAAGTTTCTCCACAAACAAGACTTTCATAGTGTGGAGCTATACCAATTAATCAAAATACTCTCAACTTTAGCCCAACGACCAGGTGAATCACAAGTGGAAACTGGCTAAATGACAATTTATTCATCAAAAAAATAGTAAGTGCTTACTATGTGCTAGATGTTGTAGGGACATAAAATGCACCTGTGATTCCTGCTCTGTGAGAACATCCAGCTAGTGGGAGCAACGTATATAAACAACTCTAATCCAGGATACAAAATTTTTAGGTGTTATAGACGATAAATGTATTATTTTCACCTGGGCAAGTCCAAGAAGGCTTACGGCAGAGAGGGCACTAGATCTATGAAGCAGGGGAGAATTTATGATGCAGAGAATGAAGCACACGGGAGAGGGAATGAGTAGGGCATTCCAGACCAAGGGGCCTTAGACATACCCATTTGGTGTACAGGGAGCAGGGTGTAAAATGACAGATTATATAAGGTTGGAAATGTAGTTCTAAGCCAATTTGTAATATATCCGGAATACCAGGCTGTCTGGAACTGATTTAAACCTTCTGAAAGCAGTGGGGATCCCAACAGCTTTGGGGTATAGGGAGTAGCTTGACCAAAGCTGCAGCCTTAGAAATAATCTGATAGCAGTGAAGTTACACTGGTTTAGGTCACAATGATTCTAACTGATTCCTTGGATCTTTCTGGGGCTGCACCAGAAGAGCCTAACTTCCCCAGTCAACAACACTACACTTTTTATAAGCAGCAGATAAAAGTTGGAAAGCCAGTGGTCTCTTTAAACTAGGACCAATTTTGAAAGAAATTTACAAAAGATCTTCATCTAGTGCTTTAAGTTTTTTAATCAGAGAATTTACAAGAAAAGGCACTACCAGATCCTGGAAAAGTGGGGCAGGGTTGGTGGGAATATTGAGGGCTCTGCAATGTGCAACAGGTGGTTAGCATTATGAAGCTAGGAAAAACAAGCACCCTGGGCTCTCTCTGAATGCCTGTTTTCACAAGATACTGGAGGGTGGGGTGAGGTGGGGCAGTGGTGAGTAGGTCAGAGAAAATTAATTCCTGAATTAACTGTAGCAGTGGTAATGAGGGTGTGGGTCACCAAGAGATTCAAGAGATGTTATGGAAGTGCGATTGGCATGGTTTGGCCAGGTTCAGAGCCCAGATGACAGAAATGGTAGTGACAGTCTTCAAAACTTGCAAATACAGAAGCAACTCACAACTTCAGTGGAGGAAGGGGAAAGAGCTCTGTTTATCAGTTGATAAACAAGGTACTGGAGTTGTCTAAGCCTCACTCTCAGGTTTATGGGATGTGCAAGAAGCAACTGGAATCTCAGAGAGATGTTAACCAAGAAGTAAAATCTGTCAGTAATCTTTGCAATTGTTTTATGAGATGAAGAAGATGAAAAGAAAACAAGGCCAAAGACAGCACCTGGGAAATCTACATCTAGGAAACAAGAGAACCAGGAAAGGAATGGCTAGAGAAGTACAGAGTAGGGGTAAGGGCCACTTTTATGGACCAGATACTGCCAACTGGCCAGAAACCATCAAAAGAAAAGTACCTCATGCTGTGGACAAGGGTCAATTCCTTACCATGGCATCAGCAGAATACGAGGAGGAAGTCATAAATGAGAGCCAGCTCCACCAATGACTCAGTAACAAAGTTTAAACAGATATGGGGAGGTTGTTAAGTTAGGGAATTCTTTTTAAAAATATTATTAGTTAAATAGCACCCTGTAGGGAGAGGATGATACTATTAAATAAACCCCCATTAAATCTGAGAGCAGGTAAGTTTACAAAGAAAAAAAAAAATCTTTATGAAGTTCTCATAAGAGCCATATAAGAAGCAGAATAGAGCAATAAAGCAGGACACAGGAGGCCTGGATAACTACCCTGGTTCTGTTATCCTCATCAGATGCACGACCGGGGCGTGTCAAACTCAGCTGAGTCTCTTTCTCAGTCTCCCTGAGAAAGTTAAGTGGAAGCTTTTTCTGAACACTGAACTATGAAAACCATCAGTGCTGAAGCAAAAAGGAAAAAAAAAAAAAAAGGAAAATGCCCAAACACTGGGTGAACCATTATGCTATGATACACCAAAACCATCAAAGACATTAAAAACAATGTTGCAGAAGACTAATTACATTTAATTAGACTGGAAACATTTCATAATACTGTTCATTCATTCAACCACTTCTTATTACATTCCCACTAAGTGCCGGGCAACAGGCTAGGTGTTAGGGAATTCAAGATGGGTAAGATGTGAATAAGAAGCTTATGTCTAATAAGCGGGCAACAACAATACTGTTGAAGTCATAAATACTATACTAGAAAAAGGTATCATAGAATACACTGGAGCACTTGACCCAGTCTCAAGGCAAAGAATGGTTCGAAAAGGTTTACCAGAGATCAGGCCATCACAGCTGACATCTGAGTAGCCAGGCCAAGTTGAAGGAAGGAGAGGTTCGGAAGCTAGGAAACAGGCCCAAAAGCAGTGGGAGAGAACTATGTGGAACAGCAGAGATGACAGGGGAGAAATATGCCAACTAGACTGCAAAGAGTCTGCACGTCATGCTAAGGAGCCCCGAGGGCAACAGAGTTACACGAAGAGGTGCCCATGCAACATCCAACTGAAGATTTCTGACAGGCATTTGGTAATAAGAATACAAAAAAGTCTTAGGGACTAGAAATGCAGATTTGGGGGTCTCAAACGGAGATAATAACTAAAGCCACCAGAACATGTTAAGTTCTAGCAGGAAGTGTGGACAGTCCCCGCAGAAGTGATGGAGAGGGCCAGGGATACCCCAACAGAAAGTGGCAGAGGAATAAAAAACATTCCCCTTAAACGTTAAGTGATCAAACTAGGTATATCTAACCGTGTATTTTCAAATTTTATTTATACATTTGAAAAAACTTTATACATAGGAAAATGTTAACAGTGGTTACTCTATGTGATTAAAGATGACAGGTTTTACTTCAAAATCAATATAATGAATGCATAAGTAGAACATAATAAATTTATCTTCCAAAGTTAATTTTTTTTCCCTCCTATTACACAATTCCTTTTTTTTAAATGCTAGGTTAGTAAAGGCTTAACCATAATGGAAATGCCGGAAGTCGAAAGGGGGAGGGGAAGGGGAACTGATATCTCCTAAGATTAACTTTCACTTTTTAAAAATTATTGTACATGTGATTTTTTTTCCCTGCTCATACATGTGCGCTGCCCATGTACTCTTGGCATATTTCAATAAAAGTGTTTGGAACATAAAAGCATTAAACGGTCCTTAATCAAACACAATGATAAATCACAGTAAAGTTGTTACTAAGGACAGGAGGGTTTTTAAACTTCTTTTAATACAACTAAATTAATTCTAAAAATACAAATTCAAAAGTCAATTTCAAAGAAATGGAATTACTTCGGGGGTGAGGGGAGGCTGCCCTTTAACACAGTAAAGCACATACTACTGTAATTACAAAGGTATCTGGAACATCACACACACACACTTGCCCCCTCCCTCCCTTCCACTAGCAGTCCAGAAGTGCTGCCTCCTGCTGGGGGACAGCTCGGTTAGCCTCAGCTGCTGCCGCTGCCACACCCACCACTGCCCTTCATATTTATAGCCTGCACACAGGGTAAGGCAAGTCCTGTTACTTTCCCAACAGTGCAAATTTTTGTAAAGTTTCTTTAATATGTCACTCCACAGGACAAAGAATACCTTACAAAACTGGGAAAATAAACACACTTGCCTTCTCCCCTACAGTAAGACACCCAAGATGGGATGGAGCCTGATCTCCAAAGCAGAGCATTTACTGAGGCATAACCCAGAATGGGAGCAGGTGACTGAAAAAACAGCACTTCATATATAATATGACCTATAATAAAAGAGACCTATAATAAAAGAGAAGCACGTGAACAAAATGTAGATATTAGTAGTTTGGGTCCAGAATCCTGACCCTGCTTGGAATCAGTAACTTGAGTTTTAGGTCCATGTTAAAATAAAGCATTTATTGACAGATAACCTTAAGATAATGAACTCCAAAGAAGCCCACAAGCAGATGTCATTAAATGACATTACATCATGTTTAAAAAAAAAAAAAAAGCTCTGTCCTTGGAGAGTCTGAGGCCAAGGATTCTATCACTAGCTGAGTAAGTGAATTCTGACAGATCAGATCTGTGGGTTCAATTTTCTCACGTATGAAAATGAGGGCACAGGGCTAGATTAGTGGCTTTCAACCTTTTCTTGATTGTGAGCCACAGTAAGAAATACATTTTACATCAAGGTATCTGAATATACAAAACGTTTCACAGAATGATACTTTCTCTTAGAATAAACTTATTAGGCAGAATAAACTTTGATAATTTTTCTATTCTATTTCATTATTTTTAAAAATGTTAACTGCAACACATGGTCCACTGTCTACAATTAAATAACACTAGATGATCTTTGAGCTGCCTTTTACTCTAATTGTACGTAATGCATTTAGGTTTAATATCTGCAACATAGCCACAAGGTGATAAATTGTCTTTGTCCTGTGTTTTCATAAAAGGCAACTACTTATTCCTGATGCATCCTTGCTGTCCAGCTTGAGAAAACAGCTCTTAGGAACACTTTGATCACCTACATGGTGTGCGTAGAAAGTTGTGAAGATGGAATGAGGTAAGTGCGTTTATATGAGCACTTTGAAACTGCTGTAACCAAGTGTCACATATTAACCAAATATACAAGAAGCTAATCAAATTCTTCACACAGTTAAATAAGGCAATGAGATGAAACGTAGTATTTTCACTTTATCTCCAAGGTAAACTGCAAAATTGCTTTTTAAACATGTGTTTTTAACATAGATAATGCACTTGGAGAGGAACCTCAGATTACATGGGACAAATGTACTGAAGCCTTGACTGTAAAAAATAAAATCAGGAAACATCTTAAATGTCTTTATAGAATCCTTGAGGTAGAGAAAGGTTTTCTTTATATGCCAGCAGCCCAGCAAATTTACCTAGGTCAAAAATAGATGTAAAAAAAAAAAAAAAAAAAAAAAGATGTAAAAATTCCCCCCCCGCCATTAATTTCAAAAGCGACTAAAAGAAAAAATTTGCACTAATGAGGTTTAATAAAAAAGCCTATAACATGTTTTCAGAATATAAAACGTACATAATGTTATCCATAACCCAGAAATTCCACCAGTAGAAACATATCTCAAGGAAATAAATTTGCAAAAATGTACAAGGATGAAGGGAATGGGAGGAGGAGGGACCAATACATACAATAATGCACTGGTTAAAAAAAAAATCAGGAGTTACTCCTATTACCCTGGGTATCTCCCATGTATACATACGGTACACATTAGTAAACTTAAAAAAAAAAAAAAATCCCAGTACGTCTAACTATACAATGGAACACTAGCCAGCTATTAAAAGTGGTGATATAGGTCTTTATTTATTAACATGGGAAGATGCCCACAATATACTCAAAAGATTATAAAGCAACACTTATGGTATGATCTCTTTCTGTTAAAAAAAAATTAATAGTAACATTATACACATTTTAAAAGTCTGCCCAGACATATACCAAAATATGAATAGTGGACGTCTCTGGGGTGATGAGATCAGGCAGCTCACTCATACACTGCCTTTCTGAGAACTACAAGAAGATATGCTTTCTCCAGGCACACCCCATGCTCTAGGGTACACAGCCCAGAGAGCTGAGTATGGATTTCAGCCTCCAGGCACCACTCCTCCACACTTCCTTGGAGTGAGTGCCCTTATACTGGGATAGGATTATGGATAGCTTTCACCTATTTATGCCATTCTCCGCTGGCTTACTATTATTACAATAAACCCAGAAATTTACTATTTGTTGATACTTTCGATTTTGAAAAAAAAGGTCTTGCCTTAATCCTTCCAAAACTAATCCCAACTTTACTTGTACTACTCCCACTGCCCTTACATGATGCCGCATACTCTGATAATTTGTGCGTGTTACCTATTTAAATGCACGTGCCAAATAAAATCTCTACCCCAAAAGCATATAATACAAAGGTTAGATAAGGAGCACAACCTGCACTAAGAAATGTCATTCTAACACAAAGTGCAGATACTTATTACTGGAAATGAGAAGGCACTGAGAAAGGTAGTCTACACAAATTCACCACTCTCCACCACTCAAAAATTCCTTCAGCAGAAAGTCAGGACACTCTAGAAACAATAATAACTGTTTACACTTTTTTCCCCCATTTAATTCCAGATGCAAGATCTATTTCCTCATCACATTAGTGGGTTCCCCACAGACAGCCATTCGAAAAAAAATTGTGAGTGATTACCATGCAGTTAGGCAAGGCATCTGTAAAATAATACCACCGCTGGACTAGGATTAAAGGACAACTGGTTCTTTTCTTGGCTCTTTGGAATATGTAATTTTACACAAAGTAAAGACGCAACCTCTCTGGGGCTCATTTTTCTCGTCTCTAAAGCAGGGTTTGGGCTAAAAAACCTCCAAGGCCCCTTTCACCTTGTGACAGGACTTTAAGCCGCCTTTCCACTCTGGAGGAGCCGATTTCAAGCAGCAGCCAGTCTATTTTCTAAGTCAGAGCAAATTTACTCTCTTCGTGCTTCTCTTGACAATGTCATGCCCGAATAGTTCTCAACTCTAGAAATATTCTCACTCAG